GAGGTCCCTTCCAGCCCTAAACTTCTGTGAATCTGTAAAGAGGAAGGAAGAGAAAACTATCTGTCAGGTATGAATTAGATATACGGCGATGAATATGACAGAAATACATATGTCAAAAGTGAAACAGGGTCATTTATCCAATGTACAATTGGAAGAAGAAAGGAGGATGATGCTATTTAAAGCAATCTAAGTCCTCACTGAGTCTAATGAGATCCTTTCATTGGATGTAATGGGAAATGAATCAGGTCCTGGTGCATCTGAGTCTGGAAACATCATCCAGTTTTGAAAGAAAGAGATTTCCCATCGTATCAGAAAAGAAAGTGTCAGTTTTGTGAATGTTTGGAACGGCTGATGTTTTAAGTTTGGCAAGAAATATATCCTTGTTCTCTAACTTACTAAATATTTTTTCATAGAAAATATACATTCCATTGTGTTAGAGACAGCTATGATCTATGCTGATTAAAAAGTGAATTACATTAAAATTCAATCTCTGAAAAATCCTTTGCTGTTTTTTACCCCTTGTTTGGAACTTTGTATGTTCTATAAAACAAAATATAGTGCAATATTTAGTGGCACAAAATATAGTGGTACAGCTGAGTATCTTAATGAAAAACTATGCCTCAGTACAAATTAGTACCCACAAGGCCACTATCTGGTTGTTAATGGAATGAATTATCTGGCTGCTCCGTGTTCTGCTGTAACACACATGGAACATTTTCTCTAAAAACATACAAATTGTTTCTCTTGAATGATCTTAGTTGTGTCTAAATTTTTAACCTCATATATAACATCAACAAGTGTAAATGTATTGTCTCAGAAAGTTTTGTAACCCCTAAAATGGAACATGTGAGTTGTGTGTGTTCAAAGGGAAAGCTACATTAGGTTCTTCTTAGTTGGAAACAGAAATAGGCTAACTGGGCTATTGTTCAAAGTATTTGAGGAACCCAGGAATGCATTGTGCTGATAAATAATCCCTTGCTTTAATAAAAAAAAACAAACAGTGGAAAGAAGCTCCAGGACATTTAATCAAATTCACTTTAATTCACCATTGTAGTAAACATAATAAAATGATACAGAAGTGGGATAAATTGAACGAATTATTACACGGGGAGAAGTTTTCACTACCAGATGCCAGTTCATCCCCATTAACCACTCTGAAAATGTTTGCACATTAGATCTGGCTTGTGTACTTAACAGGCATGTCTTTCCATGAATCCATTATTTTTTCAGATATTGAAATATATTTCACTGAATCTGTATCAGGAAATTATCCTAATTATTACTGATTCGTATCTAATTAGTGCCTAAAGAAACTCAGAGACCAGGATTCCTTCATGGTACATGATAGACCAGGGGTGGGCAGTTATTTTGGGCGGAGGGCCGCTTACTGAGTTT